CCCCAGCTCTTTTATCTTTTTTTATTTTTGCCACTACACTACTATTTAAAGGCACAGCAAGGAAAATAGTAATAATAAAAAATAGGTTCATAGCTGCTCCCTCTCATTCCCCCCTTGAGCTAGATCATGTCTGAGCCCAATCCTGGGCTCAGGGCTGGGAAGAAGTGTCCTGACTTATTGGTTGATATTGGGATTTTAGAACAAATGCCTGGACTATGCCTATTCTTTCTTTGATAAAAGAGATTAATGTGTTTAGAGTGCAAGGTCCTATAATCATTAATAGCAAGAGTAGGGTTACTGGCTCAATTATTGCAGATATGAGGGTTGTTAACCAAGGGGACCAATTAAAGAGGGACTCATACCAACTCTGTGACTGTTCCTGCTCTAGTTTACATTTTTGCAGTCTGTTTCTTACTGTCATTGATTCCTTGACTATTGCTGAATGGTTAACATAAAAACAGCATTCTTCTTTTAAAGCTGCACATAATCCACCTTGTTGTAAAAACAACAAGTCTAACCCTCTTCTATTCTGAAGCACTACTTCAGCTAGGGAGGTTAGAGATTCCTGGAGATGTGAGATAGCTTTTTTCATTTTTTTTCTAAGTCCAGGTCTATCGCTGCACTTAGGGCTTTGTAGTTACAGTCTTGAAAAACAAGAGCTGACACTCCTGCCCCCACGCCAGCAAGACTCAGGATTGCAGTGAGGGTGATGGTTGTGACAGGCTCTCTTTTGACTCAGGAGAATTTTGTTTCTAGAAATATAGTCTCTTTTTCATGATAGGTAAGCTTGGGGATTAATTGTACTAATACACAGAGATCTCGAGTTAAATTTAAAACTTCAGTGTGTAAGCAAGGGGTTAATCCAGTTGTACATGCCCACCACCCAGAGCTGGGTGGGATGAGGTAACCTGTTCCATTCCAGTGGTGGACTTTTTCACATAAGCGTTTGTGAGAAGGGGTTATTTTTCCAACACAAGTTCCTTGTCCTGTAACAGATTGTAAAGTGAGATGGGGCCCAGTATGGTGCTGCCAGTGGCGAGCTGTTGGCTCAGTTTCTAGAGTGAAATTATCTGGAAGGGCTATTCCTTTATAATAAGGTGGCTTTACATCTAAACATAGCCAACAGGATTCAGTGAGGTCGGGCCTGGACTTATTTAGTACTTGGTAGGTTTTAGTGAGGATATCCCAGAGTGGGGGTTCAGAGTCAGCTGTTTTTAAATCTGTAGTGTCATTATTATTTAAATCTGATTGCCAGATAGGATTTGGTCCTACTACTATTGGCTTTTCAGTATGAACTGCATATACTACTTTTAGGGTGAAAATACTTCCTTTGGCCTTACCTTGGGGGGAGTATATTTGTATGCCTCATTGTTTTCCAAGTTCCCACCCTTGTGCAGCCATACCCTTAGCGGTGAAGGTTATGCTTATTGGGTCACACCGGGGAGCCCCTTTCTGATGGCAAGGGGGGAGGGGTTTCCTTTTCTTTTCACCTGTATGTAATCCCCCTGTCTTGGGGCCTCCCACCAGATCTCTCCGGTAGATACACATTCCCACATTCCACAGAAATAAGCCTCCTCTCCCCCACATTTGTCCTTAAAATGTCCTGGACATATGTAGAAACAGTCTGGGTAAGGGTAAGTATCTACAAGTTCATCTATGTCTACCAAAAGTTCAGGGAACCAGGTGCCTCGTGGGTGGATGCCTGAGGTCTGATTAGCAATGGTTCCTGTAAGGGCATTTATGATCACCCAAGTTACATTTAAGGGTTGGTGCAAATCAAGGGATGATGTACACATAGGTAGTAGCAGTAGCATTAACAGGGTGCTGGCAAGGAGCGCCTCAGCTTCAACTTTAGGGGATTGTCCTCGTCCCATCGAGCTTCCCATCACGAAGTGAAGTCTTCCTTGTCTGTGGCAGGATCTACTAGCTTGACGTGCGTATGATGCACCCAGGAGGTGATGCCGTCCACTTTGAGAGCGGTGGGGGTTGTTAGGATTACAATATAGGGTCCCTTCCACTGGGGCTCAAGTGTTTCTTGACAGTGTCTTTTTACATATACCCAATCTCCAAGTTGGAACCTGTGAGGTTCAGGAACTGGGCCAGCTGTGTAAGTGGCCCGAAGAAGGTTCTAGTTTTCTTTTTGAACCTGCTGATAGCATCGAAGGGAAAGGAGGAAATTTTTTAGCATTTATACTTGTTATCACATTGTTATGAATATTAGGAATAATAGGAGGGGGTCTTTCATATAGGATTTCATAAGGGGTAAGGCCTAGGGTGTAGGGGGAGTTTCTAACTCTATATAGAGTGAAAGGGAGGAGAGATATCCAGTCTGTGCCAGTCTCGAACATGAGTTTGGACAAAATTTCCTTCAAGGTTCGGTTCATCTTTTCTACCTGTCCTGAACTTTGGGGCCTATAGGCACAATGTAATTTCCAATTAATGTTCAGGAGGGAGGCTATTTTTTGCTGTACCTGGGAGATAAAAGCCGGGCCATTGTCAGACCCTATTTAAGTGGGGAGTTCATACCTTGGAATAATGTCTTTAGTAGTCTCTTGCTTCCCACAGCAGTTATCTGAGTCTTGGTGGGGTAAGATTTACCCATCCTGAAAAGGTGTTTATAAAAACTAAAAGGTATTTATATCCATATTTGCCAGGCTTTACTTGGGTGAAATCTGTTTCCCAATAAGTTCCAGGTCTGGTTCCTCTTTCCCTTGAACCAGGAGGTCCTATAGTAGCTTTAGCATTTATTAATTTACATGTCTTACAATCTGAAGTAACTGCTTGTGTTTTGGCTTTTAGGCTGAAAACCTTTAGAGGACTTTTTCATAATAGTTCTTTCATTTTTTTTGGTCCCGTGTGTGCTGTAATGAATTTGTCGTGTTAAGTTCAAGCCAAGCTTATCTAGGAGGATTTGTCTTTTATCTTGTGTATAATACTACTCTTCCTCTCGGTAGTGTAGGGGAACTTTTTGCTTTATCTGCACCAGATCTTCTTCGGTGTATTCTGGATTAGGTAAAATAGGCGCAGGTATTGTAGGTAATTGTGTTATTAGGGTTAATGTCTTTGGATAG